AATACTAATATTTTTGTAGGAATGGGGTTAAGGTTAATGAACCCTCCACATGATCATTAGGTGTAGGTAAGGCTCGGTCTAGTATTTTGGCTATAACTTCTTCGTTATAACTCGGATTTGGACTTATAATACATCGTTGAACAACTCTTTTCAAACCCCATCCAACTACATAATTATTGGGCCCATATTACGGACAAAACTAAACTGGATTGGATATTTTCGTAAATAGGACATAAAATGAATTATTTTTGAATTAAAACATTTTTAAAAAAGGAAAATTCCCGAGATTCTTCAACATTTTACCTTACTCGATAAATCAATCATGTAAAAGATACTCATCACTTGGTTTGGTTTTTGGCATGGGCGACACAATCAGGTGTCTACAGCTGGTAACCGGAGGTGAAAACTAGAGCTGTCAAAAGCTGACCCGACCCGAAATACTAAACCTAACTCGATTATTAACCGGCCCATCTGAACCCGAAAATATGGTGATCCAAAATGGACCTGACACGGCCTAAAACCAACCCTAAACCTGAGTTGACTCGAGTATGTGAGGCTCGAACCCGAACATGAACCAACCAGGAGGTGACCCGACCCGAATGTAACCCGTAAATTATTGACCTGAACCGAACCTGACTAGAACCGAAATTTACTCAAACCTGTTGTAACCCGTCAAAACCCGAATTTAACCCGACTTGTTACTAACCTGACTTGAATTAACCCCGACCCGTTCCTAACTCGACCCGAATTTAACCCGACCTATTACAAACCCGACTTGAAATCAACCCGACTTATTATTGACCCGACCCAAAATAAACCCGACTTTTTATTGACCCGACCCGAATTTTACCCGACCTATTACTAACCCGTCCCAAAAATTTAACCCGATCTGTTACTAACCCGACCCGAAATCAAGACGACTTGTTATTAACCCGACCTAAATTCAACTCAAATTGTTCCTGACCCGATTTCAAATCACCTTAAATTCAATTTAGACCACCTTATTATTGTTGGTCAAAGCTTTTTATCTAGGGAGACCGAGTCAGTCTAGGCTAGCAAAAGAACGGAGCATCATCCCCAATTTTAAGAGTTAAATATAGTACATATTTGTTGTATGGTCAAAGGAAATAATTATCTTCCTGAATTATAGACTATAGTGACCTAGTATGTTGTCATATATATTATAGTCAAAGGAAATAATTAGCTTGATAAAAATCATAATTATCTATTTATAGTTAGTTGAACCCGAATATGACCCGACTTGGAAATGACCCGACCTGATTGTAACCCGCAAATTATTGACTTGAACATAACCCAACTTGAACTCGAGAATGACCCGAATTTGAAATGACCCAACCTGATTATAACCCGCAAATTATTGACTGGAACCGAACCCGACTTGAACCCGAGAATGACCCAACTTGAAAATGACACGACCTGATCATAACCCGCAAATTATTGACTTGAACCGAACCCGACTTAAACCCAAGAATGATCTGACCTGATTCCCGCAAATTATTGACTTGAACCGAACCCGACTCAAACCCGAGAATGACCCGAACTGATTCTAACCCGCAAATTATTGACTTAAATCGAACCCGACTTGAACTTGAGAATTACCCTAACCCGTTTTAACCAGTGAAAACCCGAATTACACCTGACCTATTGTTCACCCGACCCAAATGTAACCCAACCTGTTATTAACCTAACCTAAACCCGATAAGATGTATGACCCGACGTGATCCGACTTAATCATGACCCAACCCAAAACCGACCCGCATAGGTTACGGCATTAACCCGAATTGAGCCGACCCAAGTTGACCCGAATCGATAGCTCCACTGAAAACCGGTTGCCCACTACCAGTAACCGGACACCAAATCATGTTCACCGTCCCTAGTAACTGTTGGCTGCGGTCAACAAAATTTGGTCGCCGGTTACCGGTGCTAGAAATCGGATTTCACCTCTGGTTACTAGCCACTTATTGCATAAAAAACGAAAAAAACATAAATTAGAAAACTACCCATTATGTCGCCCCTGCTTCCTGAGGTCGCGCGCCAATTGCTTCCTGGTAAATACCAAATATATATGTGGTTATGGAGGTTGTGTAGTAAAAAAGGTGGGCGGTAGGTGTTTGAGGAGAGAGAAAAAAATAAGGGTGAAAAATGGGTAAGGGTTTAGTAAGGGGCAAGATTGTCGGTTTGCTTGAAATAATGGCGGTGTCAATAAATTTGGATGACGATATTTAGCATTTCACTTATAGAATCCAACCTTAAATATAGTAAACACGATCCTTTACTCGATGAACTCATTTAACCAATAAGTGTGTCACGCTCTTTGTTTAATACCTAGCCTTGGATATGATTAATTCAAATAAATTAACCAACAAGTTTAAAATCTTAAATACTCTCAATAACCAGAAAACACCTTGAACGAACCATGACTAACATATATACCAAATCCTACTGTAGGGGACCATAAAAAAATGAAGAATGTACCTTATTCTCAACTAATGGTTATCATCTCTTTACCAACATGCTAATGGCTAAGGTATATAGCATCGAGCCTCAAACCAAGAATAAAATAATAATGCTCAACCTTTTGATCTCATATATCAATGATAGATCAAATAAAAATTCACAATTAATAATTCTTATCTTAATAATGGAACATGTTCCCAAATAATATGAGAAATTAATGAGGCAACATATGTGTAGACACCTAAAAATGTCTCCCCAAAACCAAACCCGATGATGAATAACCTTTCACCGCCATTATTGGTCGGGTTGAGTATTTAATCTTGGAGTGCTTAAATCCATATTTCCATTTCATAAAACAACCCAATTCCTAGCCCATTTCCCCAAACCATAACTTATTTTCCTCTTTTTGTGCCTTTAAACCCAAAATAATTCATTTCGTGTCCTTTAAAATCATTCATTTCGTGTCCTTTTTATAAAAACGTTTAATCCAGTTTATTTTGGTCCATACTCTGGGTCCAATGATTAAATAGTTGGATGGGGCTTTAAAAGAGCTTTCCAACGATATATTATAAGCCCAAATCCGAGTTATAACGAATAAGTTATGACCAAAATATTAAACTGAGCCCAAACCGAACCTAAGCCCATCTTACCTACGACCCAATGATCATGTGGAGGGTCCAAATTATTTAATCCCATTCCTAAACTAATTAGGATTAATTAGAATCTTATATAAGTTTCTAAAAGATCTTAATTATCCTTTTTGAAAAGATAAGATTAAAGAGTTTGAAATTGAATAGAACTCCTTTTTTTGAAAGTCCTAATTCTATCCGAATTGAAAGACATTCAAAGATAGACAGATATTATTTTCGTGCCTCATATTTTTTATCCAAATTTTATATGGTTGGATATCTCTTGAAATTATATTTCCAATGATATATTATAATATCAATTCCGAGCTATAACGGAAAAGATATGAATAAAATGTTAAACTCTATCCAAAACTGACATCGTCTCACTATTTCGGCCATATCTTTTATTCTACAAAATATTTTAATCTGATTCTAATTGGGTTAGAAATTAGACTTCAAGATCTTTCCAACTATATCTTATTTATCTCATTCCTATTTCTAGATCAAAAGATATGATAAAAACAAAAACCGTAAAAACTGCAGTCTATCGAGTTTTATTCCGATTTAATTCGGATCTTATCTTAATTCTTCGACCCCTTTTTTTTCTCTATAAATAGAGGTCATATCACCCCTTTTTCAATCATCAACAATCTTGATCATAAAATCATTCTCTTCTCCCTTTTTAGCCTAAACACTAGCCTCCCTATTCTTACAGTATTTCTTCCTTTAAGCACTCCAAGGAGTCCATACAATAATACCTGAAGTTCTATACTTTAACCAAGGTGTGATAGGTAGAATTAAATGAGGGTTTGAAACAAATCAAATCTATATTTATTTAATTTAATTTTCAATTTGATTTATATTTTTGTTGAAGTTACTAACAGTTTATTCATGATGTAGCAATTTAAAGGAACGCGCGAAATGTGAGTAATTAATTAATTTAATTACTCTTATTTTATTTTAATATTGCTAGTATCATGATTAGGTTAATTTTATATTTGATTTGACTAACGCTATTATTGTTAAATTGCTTCCAAATGTTGATTCTATTATTATTATTTTATCGATCACCATATTACATGTTTAAAGGGAATATGTAATTGAAAATCACGCCTAATAAAATAATTTGGACAACCGGTTTAGGTTCCTTTTTAATCTTGTTATTTAATCAAGTGATCACGATATTTTAGAATTATATGTTGCATTAATATTCAACCAATTTAGCTTAATAATAGTTTGGAGCAAATTGAATATTTTGTTTGCATGCCTTTGAGATCGCAGGAATCATTCTTTCACTATAAGAATCGAGTAGAGGCCAATACGGGCGAATGTGAATCCATGACTCACTTCGTACCATCATCCCCGATCCTCCTTTCGTGGTTCCGAACCATATGGAGTTAGTAATCTCATGGATTATGAATGAGGTCCTTCACGGGTCAATCGTTGTTGCCTATCGTTGTCCCTTATTCTTGGTTGCCTTTTTATGATCCGTGAACGGTTTACAAGTTCCTTAAAAACTTGTTGGCGGCTCCCTACTTTCCTTGTCCCTAATCGTATATGTCAATTCCCACTTCCTATGAGTGCCAAGCATATTCACCATATGCTTTAACGTAGGCGCACTTCAAACGACGCCTACAATATGCCTTATTCATGTATGAGTATGGGCATTCAAGGGGGAGTGTTGAGAAAATAAGTCCAATGTGAATGCCCAATAAGTTGATTCCTATGCTCAAATACATACAATCCAGTGAACTCATATGTCTATATGTGAGAAATTGTTGTACCATATTGTAATACCCCCAAATTACTCTCTAATATTAACAATAATAATCCAACTTTAGGGAGTAACTTGGGAGTATTACCGCCACGTGATTACGTAAGGCTTTAACATAGTTTTGCAGCGGAAAACAATAATTATCTTTTATTAGTAATAATAATAGTAATAGTAATAGTTTTGAAATACTTCCAAAGATGTAACAACACTAATACTATGTTTACTAAATTAAACTAGGAGATCACCGCCCATCGTTCCCAATGCAGCACATAGTTCACGTTGTCTGATCGCCATCACCTATCTACTCATCAAAATGATAAGTAGGGCCAAGCCAAAACAAAACAAAAATCAATTTAATTAATTAAACATATTTTTGAAGAGATTTAACTTTAATAAATCATAATTTACCCAAACCATTCATGAATAGAAATTCATGTATAAAAGCTTGTCAAAAGGACCAATTTCCGAAATTACCAACTTTTCAAAGATAATTCCGAATAGGATGGATCAATCCATATTTTCATAAATAGTTTTGTTATTCATAGCCCTAAGGGCTATGCATAAAAACCAGCTAATTCCTCTAATTAATGATAAATATCTTATTCCAATGGAATCTATGACAAACTTATTATTGGTAATCAGGCCCGTATTTAGACCAGGGCAGATGCCCAAGGCCCCCAAATTTTAGGCCCAAAATACGTATAGCGGAATAAAAACATTAATTAAATTTTAATTAATTAACTAAAATTTGCGCCTAAACTACTCCATATTACTCATACTTCAACTTCTATAAATAATTAATTTCATTAATCTTGGGAAGGAAATTTCCATATTATTTTAATCAATTTCATTTAATCCCCTCCATTATTACGGAGTATCTTATTTTCCCTAATTAATAATAGAGCATGAATTACCACATCCCAATATAAGCTTCGTATTTACCTATAAGTATTCCTTTTTTTTTTTTTTTTTTTTTGAACGGTGAGTATTCCTCCTTCATACCACAAATTCTAATCAGTTTCTCATAACCTCATGGAATTACACTACATGTCTTATTATCTTAATTACCAATAATTTATATTTGATTGTTCCACATAAATATATTTACATGTAGAATACAAAATTGCACTTAAGCTCAAAAACAAAGAGACATATATTATTCTTTATATTCTATTCAATATTCAACAATACATTCCAAATTATTATTACTTTAAACACTTTCCTCAAAAAAAAAAAAACTTTAAACACTTTATTAAAAAAAAAATTACTCAAAGTAATATTCTGAGGCAACGCCCAAGTGACACTCTAATTGTTTGCGAAAAGAATACGAAGTGTAATTAAAAAAGTGTCGTGCAAAAATATGGATTTTTTTTGGCATATCCAAAGAATTTTTTTAAAAAGAAAATAATTTAGTTAATTAGGGCCTAATTTTAAAGTTCGCCCATAGGCCCCAAAAATCTCAGAAACGGGCCTATTGGTAATTAGACCATCATTCAATTCTCATTAAAAATATTTGCCGATTACTACTGCAAGTTAATACCACTTTGTAAATTACTACCGCAAATTAAAAAAGTTGTGAATTACTACCGCAAAACTTTTTAAGATGTTGCGATTACTACCAAACTCCCATTAAACCCAACTATGACGTCATTATAGCTCTTTAACCCATGGTTAAAACCCTTAACCATGGTCAAACATGGGTTAAATCCCTTAACCATGTCATCATTATATCCCTAACCCATTTTTTTTTTGGCAGGTTAAAGCCCTTAAACATGGTCAAACATAGGTTAAAGTGATATAATGACATCATAGTTGGGTTTAATGGGGGTTTGGTAGTAATCGCAACATCTTAAAATTTTTTGCGGTAGTAATTCACAACTTTTTTTATTTGCGGTAGTAATTTACAAAGTGGTATTAACTTGCGGTAGTAATTGACAACAACACCAACTGTTGTTGTTGTTGTTGTTATTATTATTATTATTCACTAATACTAGAAAAAGTTTAATCCACACCGGTTCAAGGGCCAAATAGATGCCTTAGCTTTTATGCTTAAAAAAATGCAAAATTGATAAACAAAACATTATATATATATATATATATATATATATATATATATATATATATATATATATATATATATATATATATATATATATATATATATATATATATATAAACTTAGATATTTTTATTAATAAATGCTTGTAATATTAGAATTTCATCAAAATTAAATAAAAACACAGTTCCCATCATACATGATCAATTCTTTTTTTACATGCTGGTTTCAAACTATGTTACTCGGACTCTTTCATTTACCTCACGTGTCCATGTCGACACGACACGTGTCGGACACCGACAGTCCGACACCGACACTTGGACACTTCAATTTTTAACTAAAAACACAACTTTTTCCAAGAAAATGGAAGAGTCCGATGCTTGGACACCCGTGTCTAATTTGACACTTCATCCGAGTCCTAGTAACATAGGGTTTCAATATAAGTAGAAAAAGGAAAAATGATAGACAGAGACGGGAACAAAGAAGCAGCACCTGAGACTTTACTGTAGATTCAAGCACCTGAGCACATAAAGAGCACCTGAGCACCTGACTGCACATAAAACAAAGTCTAGATTAATTGCTTACAACGCTTAGTAGAAAGAGTATTCCTGTAAAAAAATCTAGTTTGAAGTTTTGAACCGCTTGCCATCTACTTTTTTCTACTAGTGAAACCTGCCTGCAAAACATCATATTCCTATAAAAAAAAAAGTGGTAAAAAAAACAACCAGCTTAAACTGACAATATATATTCTCACATAATCCATATAACAAAGATACACGCTAGGCAATACTCACAGCCTATCTAATCTGCCATGGCATAGAGAGTCGAGAGTGAAAGTCACAAGTTCTCTATATCAATCTCATACGTGTTGGATTTATAAATATTAGTAATTGGCAAAGCACAACCAAAATTTCTTCCCAAATGGAACTCATTAGTAACACCCTCACAAAATAAAAGTCCACGTGTATGCATTATTTATGTCAGCACATGTATGGCATAACATTTGTCAAATTAGAATGCTAGCATTTAACTTATTTTTCATTAATAAAATTAGAATGCTAGCATTTAACTTATTTTCCTTAATACAATGACCATAATCCCAATCTCATCAGACAATTACTTGTTCACAAACTTTGCACAAGGATAGTACGAAGTAACATTCATTTCACATCTCAGGGAAAATTCTTTTTGCTTCCTTGATCAATCCCATTTTGTCAAATACTCATATCACGAGTAACAAATACCCTCGATAACAATCACATTCATGTGTTGATTAGTAATGATTAATAAATTATCTAATGTAAATGTTTTTATAGTTAACTTTCATGCAAAACAGTGAACTAAAACAATTAAGCTACCAATTAAATTTTTTTTTTCCATTTTACTATATTATAATAAGAGGTTGATTTATCAAAACCATGATAAAAAAAGGGAGCGCTGAGAATAAATACATATACATTAGACTTATTATTAATCTTTACTAATCAACACATGAAGTATAAATTAGAATATATGTCTTAGCAGATTAATGAAAAACAATTAAATAGCCCATAAAAAAAAATAACACAAAACAAAATACCTCTTATTGATTTTATGAATCACTAAGCAACACTTAGTTACACAGTAGCACCACCAGTCCAACCTCACCCCTTCTCTGCGTCCCCAATCAAGATAACATTTTCATAGTAGTGTATTCCACAGATTACATGAATTTCCAAACAACTTATTAAAAATACTTTGTATAATAGTAATCTGATCAAGAGCATAATCTGACCAAGAAATAAACATCATTCCTCCAATTATAATTGGCATGGCCTTAGATTTCTGCATTTCTTTTGCCCACAATTACTTGGGTTCTCGACAAGCTTATGATGAATCATTCAGAAAAGAAAATAATTAAATTAAAATTGATCAGAGTAGTCAACAAACATCAAATTAAAAGGTAAATCAAAATCTGCAGTAATCGAAATTTTTGGAAGAAAAAACAAAATTTTTGCAGTAATCCCAAACTCATCTAGATACTTCAACCAATTTATATAAAATCTGTAGTAATCAAAATTTTCGAAAATAAGAAAAAACAAAATTCCCAAACTCATCTAAATACTTCAACCAATTTAGATCCATGCCAAATTCAGTATGAAAATAATGAAATTAAACCTGTTAATAGGCAAATTCAATATCAGATTAACAAATCATCAATAAGATTAGAGAGACGGAATTGAAACCCTAACTTTAGCTAGCTCTAATTCTTGTTAGAGCCAGTAGCTCTAATTTATATGGAAGGGAGACAGAACTAAACTAACCTAACCACCCAAACTTTAGGTGGAAGCCGCCGAGGATGAAGGCCAGTAGGTGGCAATTGTCGTCTCTTCAACTTGGAGCACGGGCTGTTGTGTATGTCTTTGAGTTGGAGCACAGGTTGGAATGGAGGGAGTCTATAGTGGACGTGGACTATAGTGGAGCACCGGAAGCGAGAAGGTGGTGGCGGTGGAAGCCGAGGATAGGAGATGCAGCGTAAAGAGACGGTGAAAGCTTGAGGGATGGAGAAATACAAGGGAGAAAAAAGTTGTGACTTGTGAGGCTATGAGGGTCGATTTTGATACAGTAAAAATAATTGACAAGGAAAAAAAGAATACGAAGTATCAAAATAAGTGTTTTCCTTCCAAAAAAAAAAAAATAAAAATTAAGTATTACAACCAAGTGATACCTAATATTAAAGTGTTACAATAAAGTATTATCTAATATTAAAGTGCTACAAAAAATGTTACTCAATACCACAATGTTACAAAAGTGTTACTTAAAAATCAAATAATCATGAAAATTTTAAAGTGTTACCAATGAGTGTTACTTAAGCTCAATTTTGTAGTAGTGTTAGTATGTAGTAGTAGTAATAATATATGTAGTGTAGTTGTTTGATATGATTTAATCAAGATAATAATAACAATAATTTATAATGATAGATTATCATTAGTATGTATGTAGTACTAGTAGTGTACAATAGTAGTAGTAGTAATAATATGACTCAAAATGAAGAACATCAACGACAACAACAATGTAGTATCAAAACAAGGTTGGAAGCTTAGATAATCAAGCAAGGCAAGAAGGTGGAGGGAATACCTATGGGTGGCAGCGGCGGCAACGGTAGGAGGGCTGCAACAAGGTGGTCGGAGTGGTGGTGGTCATGGTGTTCACGGCCAAAGAGAAAGAAAAAAGAATCAAAGTAAGAATTAGAAAGGAGAAGATGGAGGATGAAGAGAGTAGTTTGGGGAAGATGAATGTGGGAAGTGTGACTGATTTTCATGGCTATTTATAGCCTCAATTAGGCACTATTTTAGCTGTCTCCATTAATGAAAGAACAACTGGGAACCTTGGTTCCATTTTTGCCGACATAAAGAGGTTCTAGAAGCAAGAAAATGAGTTTTGTTTGGCAGCCATAACTTTTGATATATAGCATCAAACAACAATCACACCGTTGAAATTAAATATTGGGATGTTTCAAACAATCTGTCAAAATTTCAGCTAAATCGGACCACGGATAAACCTTTATCGCTGGTGTTTTCTGAGACTGCTCAAGTTTGGGATGAAAATAAAGATGAATGGTGTATAAGGGAGCTACGTGGAGCAATTTGTGTGGAAGTTTAGAGTTGACTTTAGCAATACTTTTGACACTTTGTAGTATGAGTCGGGAACAAAATATTTTGCTCGGGAACAAAGAGCTTAAGGTAGAAAATCCGGTTTTTGAGTAGGATAACTTTAATTTATAATTAGTATAATCAAACTTATTATAAAACGTAATTATAAAATTGTCATTTGTATATAATAACTTAAATAAATTATTTTGTATAATAACATAATACTTGAAATATCTCGGAAAAATCCAAATTAGTAAACGGGTTTAAAAAATACTGGGTATTAAAGTCTACCCCTCTTAAAAGAAGTTTCGACCTCGAAACTTAAGTCAAAATTGGTTAAACAATCCAAGTTAGTACTAACTGACTCATGCACAACTTATAACGATTTGAAATGACTCATATTGGAAGTCATGCACAACATAAAATAACTCAAAATGACCCAGAAACTAGCCAAAAGGGCAAAAGCGCGAAACTCTATCGCATTCTACCCCCCTTAAAAGGAGTTACGCCCCCGTAACTCGACTATTGACCTCAGAAAACAACTCTGGATATATTTTCCTCATATCTTCTTCGGCTTCCCAAGTAGCTTCCTCGGTTTTATGATTTGACCATAAAACCTTGATTATTTTAACATCCTTGTTTCTAGTGCTTCTCACTTTACTATGTAAAATTTTCACATGCCTTTCCTCATAAGTCAAGCTCTCGTCCATCTCAATAGTTTCAGGCTGTAAAACATGGGAAACATCTGGTATGTACTTTCGAATTTGGCTCACATGGAACACATTGTGAACTTTTTCTAGCTCGTTAGGCAAATCCAACTTGTATGCTACCTTTCCCACCTTTTGGATGATCTCGTATAGACCAATTTACTTTGGGCTTAGCTTTCCTCTCTTCCCGAACCTTATTACTCCCTTCATCGGAGATATTTTCAATAAAACTTTCTCTCCTACTTCGTATTCCTCGTCTCTCCTTTTCAAATCCACATAGCTCTTTTGACAATCTTGTGCGGCTCTAATTTTCTCTTGAATCATATTCACTTGTTTCACCGTTTCTTCGATCATGTCTGGCCCGAGTGTAACAATCTCGCTTATGTCGTTTGATGTGTCTATTTTATATAGTATTTTACCCCCGTCCCTTGGTCATAATTGGTAGTGTTTTTGTTACTAATTGGTGTTTTCTAGTGTTTTCGTAGATTTGGTTGGCTTTTGTAGGGATTTACACTTTTGGAGCATTTTCCCGAGATATTATAGAGCAATTACGAGCATTAGAGAAGCACGACCATCTTTGAACCCTAAGGCCGGTTAGAGTCATCGAACAGGTGATTAAGGGCTCGGTACATGTGATACCGAGGCATTTGGACTGAGTATTCAAGACCCGAAGAGGAAACCCAGATTAGCCCAAAGAATGGAGCCCAATCGTAGTCCAAATAGTGGCCCAAGAGTGTCGCCCGACCAAAGAGGTTGGTGCCCGGAGGCGCGTCCGATCGGGCGAGGGAAGCAAGGCTGGCGCCCAAACTCGCCGGGCGCGAGAAGTATACCTAAGGGAAAAAGGCGCGCCCGATCGGGCGGTGCCTCGCCCGATCGGGCGCGTGTTATTATTAGGAGTTAATTTTCGACGTTTAAGTTTGTTTTAGTTTAGGATTCTCGCTTAGTATAAATACTTTTCCGTTAAGCGAGTTTAGGATTTTATTTTACTCTTTCTTAATTCTTTCTTAAATTTTCTCTCTCTACTTAGCTTTTAGATTAGTTTTCTCTCTCATATACTTTTGTTCTTAACTTTATTCTTAATTCCAGATTTCTTTGGTAACGATTTCTCTTCTCTTAATCTTAGTTATTTATTTTATTCCTTTGATCATGTCTTGTTTATTTATTTTGATTAGTTTAGTATTAATTATGTGTGAGTAGTTCTATTTCTAGGGTTTGTGGGGATCCATAAATAATATGAAGGGGTAATTTATTGTTGTTAATTGTCAATGCTAGATTTATTTCCTATTGATTGATTTAATGCTCTGTGACTAGATTTGCGCAGATCTTTTATGCATGAGTTTGACAATATTGATTCGAGATTCGAAAGATGAGAATTAATGTTTAGCTCTAGTTTCAATAGGCAGGTTAATTTATAAATGGTTAAGTCGAGATTCGAGAGATGAGATTTAATATCGGTAAATTAATTGTGTGATTGTAATACGTAGCGAAAGCCCTTTATGATCTGATTAATGTATGCATTGATGATTGATTATTATGTTTTACCCTGGAATATTATTTATTGGTGAATCTATGACCTAGACCTTTTATTCATTGTTTTCTCCTTATCCTTAATCTCCGTAGTTTAGTATTATATCCGAATTTACATATTGGTTACTTGATAATTTAGATTACTTTAATTAATTAGGAATAGAAAGCTCAGTTTCCCTGTGGATTCGACCCTACTTCCCTATCTATTATTAGTTAGTGGTTTTAGGAATTACTTTTGATTAGGGGATACGACTTTACCCTGTCATCGTTCCAACATATCGGGATTCTACACTTTCGCCCATAAAAAGCCTCGAATGGCGCCATCCCAATGCTTGCATGATAACAGTTATTATAGGAGAATTCTATCAAGTCCAAATGGTCTTCCCACGAACCCTGATACTCCATAACACATGACCTCAGCATCCTCCAAAGTTTGTATTGTTCTCTCTGTTTGACCATCGGTTGCCGGGTGGAATGCAATGCTCATTAACAACTTAGTCCTAATAGCCTTTTGTAAACTTTCCCAGAATTTAGATAAGAACCTTGAGTCCCTATCCGATATGATGTCCTTTGGCACACCATGGTATTTTACCACAAATTTCATAGACGCTCTTCCCAATTGATCCATTGACCACGTACTCCTCATGGGTATGAACGTTGCACACTTTGTTAATCGATCCACTATGACCTAAATTGTATCATTTTCCTGCTCGAGTCTTGGGTTAGGCTCCCATGAAATCCATAGAGATCGAATCCCACTTCCAAATAGGCACATCCAAGGGTTGAATTGTTCCTTAGGGTCTCTTATGCTCGATTTTGACCTTTTGACAAGTCAAACATCTAGTCACAAATTATGCCACTTCTCTTTTCATATTCAGCCACCAGAACGTCTTTTTCATGTCCTTATACAACTTATCCCCTCTGGGATGCATTGAATAAGGAGAACTATGAGCTTCCTCCATTAACTTTTGCTTCAAATCGCTTCGATTCTGGGGAATACACCATCTCCCTCTAAACCTCATGCTTCCATCATCGGCTATTGCAAAGTCCAATATTTGCCCTTCCTTGATCTTTTATTTAATCTTGTTCAACTTATCGTCCCCAGGTTGACTTTCTCGAATCTCATCATAAATCGACGGTTTGCTCAACAAGGCACTTAAAATTTTCTTTACTTCTCCCTGCTCCAATACCTCCAAATTCATCTTTTGGAACTCCACACACAATTGATATGGAAGAATCATCGGGCGTTAATTGTATGACTTGACTTCCTACTTAATGCGTCAGCTACAACATTCACTTTCCCTTCATCATACTGAATCTCCAAATCGTAATCCTTTCAACTCCAACCATCGTCGTTGTCTCATGTTCAACTCCTTTTGAGTGAATATGTACTTCAAACTCTTGTGATCGGTGAAAATTCTACATGTCACTCCGTACAAGTAGTGTCTCCAAATATTCAATGCAAACACTATTGCGGCTAACTCCAAGTCATGTGTCGGGTAATTCACCTCATAAGGCTTCAACTGTCTCGAGGCACAAGCAATCACCTTTTGATTTTGCATCAACTCACAACCTAACCCTAACTTTGACGCATCACTATACACCTCATACTGCTCACTTCCATCAGGCAGGGATAACACAGGTGCCATAGTCAACTTCTCTTTTAATGTCTGAAAAGCCTTCTCACACTCCAGAGTCCACTCGTACTTACATTCTTTCCTCATTAAGCTCGTCATAGGCCTTACAATTCTCAAGAAATCCTTAACAAATATCCTATAATAACCCGCTAACCCAAGAAAACTACGAACATCTGACACACTCCTCGGGGTCGGCCATTCACTTACAGACTTTACCTTTGCTAGATCCACCAATACTTCTTCTTTAGAAATCACATGACCTAGGAAAGCTATATCTTCCAACTAAAACTCGTACTTTGAGAGTTTAGCGTACAATTGATGCTCTCTTAAGGTTGACAATACCGCCCTCAAATGATCCTCATGCTCATCTCGATCCTTCGAATACACCAAAATATCATCAATAAACACTACAACAAACTTACCTAAGTATGGCCTAAAAATTCGGTGCATTAAATCCATGAAAACAGCAGGTGCATTGGTTAACCCAAAAGGCATAACAGTGAATTCATAATGCCCATAACGAGTCCTAAAAGCACTTTTTGCAATGTCTGACTCTACTATCCTCAACTGATGATACCCTGATCTCTAATCGATCTTCGAAAATATTCCCGCCACTTTCAACTGGTCGAAAAAATCATCAATCCTAGGAAACGGGTACTTCTTCTTAACCGTCACATTGTTCAACTCTCGGTAATCTATACATAGCCTCAAGCTTCCATCCTTCTTCTTTACGAACAACACCGGTGCACCCCATGGTGATGAACTTGGTCGAATGTATCCTTTCTCCAGCAAGTCGTCTGACTGAGTCTTCGACTCTTTCATATCAGCCGGGGCTATCCTATATAGAGCCTTTGAAATAGGTCTTGTCCCGGGCACTATGTCTACAGTAAACTCAACATCCCTCACAGGTGGCATCCCTGTAATTTCTTCGGGGAAAAGGTCAAGAAATTCATTTACTACTGGAATATTTTTCCCATCATCTCCATCTCCTTCTTCTATCCTTTGGACACTACACATATACAGTGGATGTCCTTTTGCTACACACTTCTTAAGTTGCAAAGAAGATATGATCGTTAACCCTTGTTTCCTCCCCTCCCTTCGATAAGTTACTCTAACCTTGCTCGGGACACACAACGTGACCTTTTGGGCCTCGCAATCAATTTATGCCTTGTACTTGCCTAACCAGTCCATCCCCAAAATAACATCGAGATCTTGTAAGTCAAGCTCGATTAAGTCTAACGGAAACTCTACACTTGAAATGAAAAGAGGTACACCCTGATGCATCTTAGTGCAACTCACCACTTCCCCTGACGGGATAGCAATATCTAAGGAAACAGACACCGCACTCTCTAACTTGAGTCTATCTACTAAAATTCTAGAAATAAAAGAGTGAGACGCCCCTGAATCAAACTAGAATTTAGTAGACATATAACAAATAAAGAAATTGCCAATTACCACATCAGAAGCAGTTGCAGCCTCACGGCTGTTAATCATGAACACATGACCCTTGGGAGCGGCTCCACTGTTGTTGGGTGTAGGTTTGGGAATGAATCCACTAGGGTGAGCTGGCTTGGGTTGGTTCTTCTCATCTTGGGGTTTACCCGACTGCTCATCAGAGACCTTCTTATAACAATCATACTCATGGTGACCTAGCTTTGGACAGTAGCGGCAAGTCACTAGGTTTCCCTCACAATCCTTTCCTGGGTGATTTTTCGCACATCTCTTACAAAAATAGGTTCTCTTAGGTTTGTCTCCATTCCCTCGGCTCCCATTTTCTCTTTCAACATTACCCCTTGTGGTACCTGGTTTACGCCTTAGAAAGAGATTAGTCTATAAAAGGTTCCACTTAAGTGTCTGATAAGACTTATAATTAAAAACTTAGAGTCGCCATCTTATTTTTATCCGAATAAGGACGGATTTTTAAAACAGTCAATTTAAATAATAAAAAAAATCAATTGCTAACTCCACAAAAAGAAATAAGGCATAGGGTTCGGGGTTTAGGTTAAGAGAATTGAATGTCTAGAACTTGTCTTCCCTTCCGTTCTAAGGAATGGGCTCTTACTATTGCGTTGTTAAAAATCAAGTTTTAAGACATGTAAACAGTAAACCACATAGGTTTGAGCACCAAAGTTGCACTACGTACCGATCATAGTGAGATTTTAAATTCATTCACGGATCAAAAGCTTCGTAGTTCGGACATATGTCATGTTTTAAATAACCAATTCCATTGGGTTTTTAATTTGGGTTATTGACGTAAATGTCATTTTTGTAAGTGGGATTTTAGTGATCTTTGACGGATTCACTCATAAAAGTAAAATGAACCACCTTGGTTGAGGAAATTCACCCCGATTAGCGATCACCAAAGATGTCTTTTGAATAAGACAATTTAACAAATGCATCCCGATTGACGACTTTTAAGTGGATCAAGGTATTTTTTGGAGTGAAAATGTAAGGGGTCACTATATAATCTCACTTTGGGTTTAAAATCACTCAAGGGTAATTTTGTAAGGTTTTACGGGTTATGTGTTTAGGCTTAATGGAATTGACCAAGTAAACCACGACACTTGTCAAGGCCTTACTTCCAAATAAAAGGGAACAATAAACTACTTAATCATATCCAATTGCCAATTAATCCATCGAGTAACTATGACGGGATATAAGCCTATTTTTATGGAGATGGAAAATTGTTACAACCTTATACAACTAAATAATTAATCTTAACCTCATGTTTGGAAATAAGGCCATAACCTTATATTAACTATCATTAATTATTAGAAATAAACAAGCAAAGTTATGATTCATTCTTGAGTCACAAAAGGGTTTGAAATAAAAAGGTTCACGAAATTATAAAAGAAAATAATGTTTGTTAAAACTTTATTTCTGAGGTCATCTTAAAATAAAATAAAAGATTCTTAAAATAACACTTAGAATTAAGGCTGGTTAAAACTTTTATTTCTAAAGTCATTTTTAAAATAAGATTAAAGACATTTTAATTAAAACTCCATAAGTTAAGAAGTATATATATAATATAGTGTAATATAGGTTTCATACCACCATTATTTCTTTAAAAATAAATTAATACAACTTTTAAAAAGCAATTAAGAGAAAAACTTGCATATTTCATCTCTTTGATAGCTTGAACTAAACAAATCATTAAAAATCATAGAAAAATCGAAAAATTTATTGTGAGATATGGTTGGAAAGCTCTTGAAAAGTTTTAGCACTTGAGCTAAATAAATGGAACTGATTCTTGTCGTAAGTGTTTTTTCACAGGCCATCTTTGGGTCGTGGTAAGTAATTTTTTACTCTTGAACAACCTTTGCTTAACTTTTAATTCCTTAGGTCTTTAAGCTCACTTTAAGAAATAAATCATTCTTTAAAATATATATTAGTCATTCACATGAATGTATTAACCTTTCATATTTAAAATGCATTATAAAGAGATGCAATGCAAAATGCAATTAACCCCCCCTCTTTGTAACATATCACCTCACCAATAGGCTTGGTTTTCTAATGTGAAGTACTGAAAGATTTAGGGCTAATTTAGCACCTAATATCGTCATTACCCCTATTGGTAACATCACATGAAAACAAACACATTAGTTAGCATAATAATAATAATAATAATAATAATAATAATAATAATAATTAAGGAAATTAAGATAGGAATAAAGATAATAATTCGAACTAGATGTAGCAATTTTTTGGATAACCCTTCTTACTTATCAAGGATGAAAAGATGATCACTCCTTAATTAAAGTGCAATAAAGGAGACTAAGTGATTTTTTTTGGAGTTTTGAGATATTAAAGGAAATTAATGCAAAAATAAAGCTAAAGAACTTTTTTTTTTATTAGTGAAAATAAACTTGAAAAATAAAGCTAAATCTTGAGAAACAAACCCCCTTTTTTTTTGGTTTTTAATATAGACATACTAATATTTTTTAACAAGTATAATGAAAAAAATAATGCTTGAACTTGAAATATTTTTGTGTTTTTTTTATAGGAATTAAAGATGATAACAACTCTTAAATAAAAATAAAAATATCAACTTAATTATAAGATGCTTTTAATAAGCTAATAATTTAAGAATAAAGCTAAATTAGAGAGATTTTAACTAAAGCAAAGATTAAAGGAGAAAAAATTTTAGAGAGAATTTTTAGAGAGAGAATTTGTAGGAATTTTTTGTGTGTCCTAAACTTGAAAATTAGGGGGGGTATTTATAGGAAAATAAAGGGGTTAATTTTTAAATTAAAAAGGTAAATAAATTAAAAATCAAGGATTATTTTGGTAAATATCAAGATTTTGGTAATAATGAGAATCTTGATATTAAATTTTTTCGTTTTATATTTAACAAACTTACTTAATCTATTTTGCAACACTTAAACTGATAAAATAAAGAAAACCGTAATAAAATCAACTCTAATATTCACATAAAAAGGTTCTAAAATGCCATGGTATTACAAAAAAAAAATGATCAAGTTATGGCACAACTCAGTAATACTCACATGGTATACGATAGCAGAGTGCCTAAATTTATTTAGTGACTATTATACTTACCAAGGTATTAAAACAACACTTATAAAATAAATATCAGCTCTGAGATGTTAGCTCTGAAAGTTACACAAAGATATTAGGTTACAATACTAATAGGATTGGACAAAATATTTTAGAGCTTATATAAAAAAAAAAGTAAAAACAATAACCCCTGCGCTTATTAGATTGTACATATAAATTTACCCAAGAACATCTAAACATATGGCAAAACCTTAAAAGTACAAGCATTACAAATAATAACCCTTACTAAAAGTATAAAGTAAGGTAAATAATATAAAATCATAAGATAGACATGGTCAAACTGAAAATACACCATGAAAAATAATACAATATTATTAAGTCATACGACATAAATTCCAGGTAGTCAAGAGTAAACTATATTTCCTTGACCAGATGACCTTAAAAAAAGGTGAACCCTTATCTTGCTTTACTCTACTGATAAAACACAAATTTATATTTATCATAATCGTAAAAAAAAAAGATAAAAGATACGAAACTAGATCAAAACAACAGGAAAACAAATAAAATAGAAGACCAAATTCATGTCGGCAACGCAAATTAACGTAACGGAAATTACTATTTGGAATAGTGTCAAATAGTGTTTACATAGTGAAATGCAATATATGACGCGTATGAAATTCAGCTGTCCCAATTAGCGTCGGGTAAATATTGATACAATTGATCCAAATTAAAATTTATTGGATACAATATTAACCGCGGGGGATAAAAAAAAGGTAACGTTAATTCACTATTGACGATTATACATCAAAAATTGACAAAAGAATACACTAACTAGACTGAATAAGCAAAACAGAGTGATTAAAAAACAAAATAAAAAAATTAAAAAAAAAAAGAAAAAGGGAATGTCAGAGCCATTAAGTATGTGGAGAACGAACATAGGTAAGATACCAAAATTGAAGATAATCATGCAACATCATTCACAGAAACTCAATACACGATCCGAATTTTCATCTATCTTTACTATTCATACATACTTCATTACTACGCGTCGTATTCACAAATATTTACCGTTTACTCTCGTCCATACAATACTCAATTGTCCTTAGATAATTATCGATGGGTTTGGTTCGAACTTATATTTATCGGATTAAGTATTAACTGCGGGACAAAAAGACAAAGACATTATAACAAGCGTACATAAAAGGAGGTCCCTTTAGCAATATAACATATAGTACTCATTTAGGTGTGGGGATGTTTGTTATTTCCCTATATTGGTTGGGCATGAGTCTTTAGAGTAGTGGACTTTATAGCTTAGGTAAACTGGTCATATAATAGAGTAGTGCACAAATCGCAAAAATCACTAGATAAAATAAAAAGAATAAAACTTACTCTAGCAGTCTAAGTGAACATACGAATATACTTATTATACTCTAAAGGAGTAAACAACGCTTGTTTATAAAGAAAATGACATATTCCTGATGGGTGTCATAAATGGCACCCATTTGATGAGCATTTAGGTTGTTTTCACCTTCTTTTCATGGCTTTCATGCTTAATAAATGCTTAGTTTTATGCTTTTGATCTTAGTCTTACATTTCCTCTCTTATTTTGTAGCTTTTGTGCATTTCTATGGTTTTTCTAGTCATTTCTCCTTTATTTACTCTATTTTTGTGGTTGTAGGTTTGTATGAGGTTCGGGTCTTGATATTGGTGATTTACTAAGGTGGAGGAAGCTTTTGGAGCAAGCTCATGGCAATTGGAAAGCTCAAGATGCAAGGAAGTGGATTCTCTAAGTTCTAGCTCTCGCGCTCTCAAGTCGTGCTCTCATGAATATGGGGTGTTGAACCCACATTCATGTGCTTTAGGGACTGCCTCACTTAGTGTTCATTATCATCATGATTTTGCGTTCATTCGAAGACCTTAGCGAACGCATAAAGCCGTGAAAAGATCAAAGAAACCCAGAGATGTGCGGGCGTGCAAGGCACGGGCGCGGGCGCGCCACCCCTGCAGCACGGGCGCGCCTCCCATGCAGCGCGGGCGCGCCTTCCTGGGTATTTATTTGCTCGGTTTTTGTTTTCGCGCCCCTATAAATACTTTGTAAAGTCGATTTTTGGGGCAAGTTTAGAATAAGCTTCATTTCACATTTTAGATCATATTATTAGCTTAGTTGAGAGCTTCTCTCTCTAGTTTTAGGGTTAGTTTAGGAGTAGATTTTAGAGAGAGAAAGTGAGGAATTTCAATGGTGATTGAGAGATTGAAAATTCAATGGTGACAATTGTGTTGAAGATAT